AGTGACTTGGTCATTTATTCTTTCTGCATTCTTAGTGTGTCTTCAGATGCTTTACTTCACTGCCTCTGCTATTTTTCAGTTTCAGCAAAGGTTTTTTCTCACATCTGTGTTAGTTGATATACAAATTTCCATTTAAAAATTTTCAGCTATCAAGCAACCTTGAAACAGCTTTTCCAAGAATTTGCAGATAGTGGTCAAACGAGTTCGGAATTGGCTACTGTCACAATGCAAATAATGCAGGCTCTTCAATCTAATTTGGATGGAAAATCTAAGAATTACAGAGATCCTGCTTTGACTCACTTATTCCTCATGAACAACATTCATTATATAGTTAGATCTGTCCGCAGGTATGCTTTATAGATGCTATTTTTAGAACTTTTTTACCTGTGCAAACTTGTCACTTATTTAATTATTGTCTTTTTAGATCTGAAGCCAAAGACTTGCTAGGGGATGATTGGGTTCAGAGGCATAGGAGAGTTGTACAACAACATGCAAATCAGTATAAAAGGAACGCTTGGGGAAAGGTGATCTAACATATATTGACAACAAACACGAACTTTTTATTGATATTTAGAAGTTGCAAGCAAAAGACTTCCTATAGAAACAAATCAACAAAACCCACCAAAACCGTACTGAACTAAACTACGGGACTTTTGGATGTGTGACGAGCAAAACTGAACATTTTCTGCAAAGCTTAGTTTACTAGTATGCTGTTATCCTGTGTTACATACTGAAGATAAGTAACTGCAACTTGCAGATTCTGCAATGCCTCTCTGTTCAAGGGTTAACTTCATCTGGGGGCGGCAGCGTACCTGGAATAGATGGAGGAAACAGTAGCGGAGTTTCTAGGGCACTTATTAAAGACAGGTTACAGTCATGACGACTTTATGGAACTAAATCTGTTTGTCAATTTGCTCATCTTTTATAACAGTTTTATTGAAATTGGAGTTGTATTGTATTACCAGGTTCAAAACTTTCAACATGCAATTTGAGGAACTGCATCAAAGACAATCTCAATGGGCAGTTCCCGATACCGAGTTGCGGGAGTCTCTAAGACTTTCAGTTGCTGAAGTCTTACTTCCTGCATACAGATCGTTCCTAAAACGTTTCGGGTGTGTATTCCTGATCACTTGGAATTCCATAGATGTTATTGAAACATCTGAAATGGATATTAGTTGTAGTCTAATAGATATTATTTACTCGCGAGGTGGAATATACAAGTTCTCATAACAAAATTTCTCACATTTGCTTCAAACCCGCCTTTGCCGTTGCAGGCCAATAGTTGATGGTGGAAAGAATCCCCAAAAGTATGTCAGATACCAGCCAGAGGATCTCGAACGGATGCTCGGAGAATTTTTCGAGGGGAAGAACTTGAGTGAACCCAAGCGGTAGATTTGCAGTTCCTCGGTCTCAAGATCGGCATGGCGACTACAGTCATTGCTCCAAGTCGCTTCCTTTTTTGGAGGTCGAAAGCTTGTGAGGTTCCTTCTTTCGTCTAGTTTTAGCATCGTTGCATAAATGACACTGTAATCAGCATCTTGGCTTTGCATAGTTTCCTTGATTCTTTGCCTTTTTTCCCTTCATGGGGTTGGATGGTTTTGCCTCTAATATTATTTTGTACAATGTGTATATAGGAACTATGTGGTGATAGAGTTATTTTTTATTTTTATTTTTGGTGAATTCCTTGTGAAGAGGTCATTCATGTATCAATTAATATCAAGCTCTGAAAGCCATTGTTATTGTATTAAATAGAAAGCTTCCATCTTTTGTTTTTAATTTTGGAGAAATATAAGTATTTGGTAACTATTATTGTCGTTTTTCATTTTTAACCAATATTTTTAAGATGGTGTAAAAATTTTTTTGTTTTTTTTTCTTTCTAAAACATAAAACATAGATAAAATAATTATTTTATCACCTTTTTTACTTGCACAACAAATATCTAAAAATATATATAACATACCAGTTTTGAATATTTAATTTAAAATGTTAATTTTCATATAAAATTATTACTTTTTTAATTTAAAATTTTAGAGAAGAGGATGAGGCTACATCAAACATGTTTTTTGTTTTTATTTTTTATTTTCAACCAGAAAAGAAAGGGATAAAATATACGAAAAGGTCACTTTTAGTCTCAAGATTAAAAAAGAAAAGGTTATGGTCCTTTCATTCACATCTTGGTACCCACGAAGATTGCTTCATTCACTTTACTTCCATGATCTGATCGGAAATTTGTTTTTTCTCTTCACTTAAATTAGAAGAAAAGGGGGGATTTTTCTATTTCTAAAAAACTAAATAGTGGTCAAATTTTGATTGATAATTAGGATGAAGATAAGACATGTGTTGACTAGTTAGCATCTAAATGTTGTTAAATTATAATTCGGTAATGAAATACAAATTATGAACAATTTATTTGCACTTCTAAGCCTTTCTTCTTCATGCAATGAACTGAAACCAATAAGAAATGGGACCACAACGTACAAATCAAATAGTCATTCATGAACAACTTAGCTTGGACTCACTTCATTCCATTACTATTGTTGATAAATTTTTTTTATTTAATTGATTTCTGCCACTAAAAATTATTCACAGAGTGATTTGAATCTCTTCCTTCAATTGCCTTTGTAAAAAGTTGGTCCAAGGACAACGATACACAATCATTGTGTATATTTTATAGAGATGCCAATTCTTTTCACAAGGTTTTGTCCTTGATAGGAATGGAGAGGTGGGGGTGTATAGCGGTCGATCGGTTACCATGAACCTATACAAAATCGACCGATGGACTCCTATAAGAAAGAAGTTATATATATGGTGTGTATATATATAATATATATATATAGATACATACATACAATCCCCTTTCGTTTTTTCATCGATCCTAACCCCTCCAACCGAAAATGACACCTCCCAATGACTAAACTTACCAATAAGTAATGCCCTCTTTCCATTTCTTTCAAAAACACGAAAACGGTATTAAAAAAATGCCGATTTCCATCTCAGGAAACGACATGGTTGGTTTTAGCGCCAAACTGATGCTAACTGACACTAACTGACCAATGAGAAGGCCTAAGGATGAGGACGAGGACGAGGACGAGGACGAGAGATTTTGTTTTTTAATTTTTAATAATTAATTTTACTCGAATATTTACTAAAGTTTATTAATCCATAAGCATAAAAGTAGTAATTCTAAAAAAAAAAAGGCATAAAAGTAGTAAATATATGTATGTAATTAAAAAATAAAAAATAATCTAATGAACTAATTTTCTCTATTTTTAATTTTAAACTATGCATTTTCACGTATTATTTATATCTAACTAAAATAAGAAAAGGCTAAGAGAAAATTTGTAGATCACATGAAAAATTATTTTATTGTGAAGGAAATGTCTGAGCCCGGGTTCAAACCGGAGACTACTAGTGTGTGAGACTACGTGATAACCATCTACACCACCTAGACATATTTATTTATTTTAAATTTAAACTTTTATATTTTTAAAAATAAAATCTTTTTTGCATAAAGAAGAAAATTAGGGGTTTGAATTCGAAGGGCCAAAAAAGTGGCCACGTTGCGCGCCATTGAAGTCCGAACTCAAAATCCAGTTGTGGAGCTCTCTGTTTGGCTGCCAAGAAAATTGGATCATTCTCGAAGAATCTCACTCGCTACACGCTCCGTAATCATCAACTTCTTCCACATCTCGTCTGTATATTAATTTCATTATTGTGTTCTTGAAAACCGAGGATGATCCGTTACTGTTCATAAAAAATGCCGGGAGATTCAGAAATCGAAGCGGATGAATCGATGGAAGCCTGCTGCAAGGGGGCCTGCGATTTCAAAACGACGAAGCGTCTCGCGGATGATATCATGCCGTACATCCTCAATCTGTGAGGACCTTCTCTCCCTCTCTTTTTTTGATTTTTTCGGTTTCTGTTGCGAAGTTCTTTGAACGACGAGATTCTCATTTTTTTAGGTATAGATCTTCCGCTACGCCTCGGGATTTCGAAATCTACGCTCCTAATGCTTCTTTTGAGGATCCACTCACGAGTGCTCACGGGTATGTACTATTGGATTCAATTTTAGACGATGAACTTGTTGATTTAGGATTCATAATTGTTTATTTAATAAGAGCTGCTCTGTCTTTGGATTAAACAGAGTGAAGGAAATCAAATCGGCGTTTTATTCTCTGTCCAAGGTTTATCACTTTTCACTTTCTGCAATTGGTTCCTTTAATTTAACATATAAGTATAAATGACGCGTTTCAGCTTAAAAAGTTCACTCAACTTTGTCTGAACTACTTTCCCTTTTACAATGCTGATATGAATGTGATGATGAAATTGGATCAGATGAACCCTTCATCCAAAATGTTGTCTCATTTACAAGGAGGTTAATAGATGCTGATAAAATACTTTTACAGTTTTCTTCATTATACCATTCAGAAAAGTTAGTTTTAACCTCAAGAAATATAGGCACATATATTGGAAACCAAATTCTAATTATGAAGAAAGCCTTGAATTTCATCTGTCACTATTTAAATGAGTTCAAAGGCCCACCTTCAAGCTTTTAAAATTATGAAATGATTCCTATCATGTCTTTTCCTGGTTCTCGCTATGTCTAATCTTAAAAATAAATCAATAAAAGTTTAGATTCTCATTTGGATGTATCCTATGCCCAACATAAACCTGTTGGATTCCAATAAGTGTTGTTAGTACTTCCTATATTCAACCTTTTATTAATCACCCAAGATGAATATATCAGAGGATGTTATCAAAAGGATGAATGTTTTGGGGGTAGAAAATGAGAAATGAAATCTTCTCTAAATAGTGTATTTAGCCTTTTGTCTTTGTGGTTACTACCATATTATTTACATGCTGGATGTCACTGTAATCCATCAAACAATATTCCTCCATTTCTTGCAGTCCTGCTGAATTATGTTAATACTCTTCAGGTCTTTAGTGAATCAAGAATTGTGGAATACAATGTCAAAGAAAAACTCATTTCACCTGGAAAGCACGAGGTGCATGAACCAGCACAATCACTATTGTTTTCTATCTATATCCAATTTATTTACATTTGCAGTTGACTAGAACTCAAAAGTTGAACAGATTATAGTTGACAATAAGCAATACTACAAGTTCTTGGGGAGAGACATAGATTTGGAATCACTTATCAAGTTATATGTTGTTGAAGGAAAAGTTGTGCGTCATGAGGACTGGTATATTAGCTAACACTTCTCAGCTTTTTATATTTCTTATATTAAATTTTTCGCTTGCAGATTGCTGCAATCTTGAAAATTTGAACGACTCATGCGAAATTACACCAATGATCTTCTGTTGTTGACTTTGTAGTGTTGATATTATCTGATAATTGAATGTATGAGATTCTACAGGTGGAACAAGAAGCCACTTTTGAATAGGGAAACTGTCAAGTTTCCAATGGTTGGTCGAGTTTTGGAAATGACTCGCAGATGTGCGATGTTAGCAACTCATGCAATGATGGGATTTGGAAAAGATTAAACCTTGCCAAACCATCCAGCAGACTGAACAAAAAGTAATCTCTCTTTTCCTATATCTAGTTATATTGTGTATCACCTGGATGAAAATAAGATATAAAGGTAGTACAACTTAACTACAACAGACTCTAGATCGTTTGCTTAGGTATTGTGAATTTGTAATGCAATCATATCACATATGAATTGGGTGCATATAATTTTAGACTTTTAAGGTTTTGTTTGTATATACAACATAACGAGTGCTTTAAGGCATCCTCAAGATATGATTTCGGAGGTGCTATACAATTACCACCTATCTTTATTCAATGTATACAAAATAGAAAATACTCCTTCTTTGCGAACATTCTCACTTTTTGAGATGCCTTATTGAGTCGTTTTTTCTTTTATACAATAAATGTGGAATAAAAATTTGAACCTTAACTTTAAAGAAGTAGAAGTTCGGGTTAGATCATGGTGGTGTGTGTGTGTATATATATTTTTTTGCATTTAGTTTAGGTTTGAAATTTTGGAGTTTCTAATGGGCCTCAATAAATAGAAGCCCAACATAAGTGGATCCATAAGTCATAATAATACTATTATTCTTTTTAATCATTTTTAGTTTTAGTTAACATTAATTCATTTTAAAGTTAATATAAGGTAAATTATTTTCAATGGTAAACCAAAATGATCTATTATCAAACCTTGTATTTCCTCTTGTTCTTGTGATGGTGGGGCGTGAATGAAAATTGTAAAAGTTGAAATTAATTTGGTTTTAATATTTTAGCTAACACCTACACTAATTGATATCTTTTTTTTATTGTTCTCAAAGTTACATTTTAAGGTCATAAATCTAACAAATTTGGAACATAATTATCGGATTGTCAACATAGTTGTTTTTGACAACTCATTCCTTTAAGATCGGAGATTCAAATTCTTACACGAAGTACCAAGGATGATAGAATTATTAATGAAGTACCAAATTATTATTATTATTATTATTATTAATTTCAATTACAATTATAAATAAAATAGAGAGTTTTAAAATGTTAGAAGTCCTTGAACCATTAAATTAGGTCATAAGAGTTTGTTTGTTTAGTTTCAAAATTGAGTTGTCATAGCTTATACTAGAACCACGGGACCGTACCACAACCTAGTGAATCGGGCTGACATTTGACAAAAGGAGAACAACATTTGACAAAAGCAGAACAATCAATTTCGTGTCTAATTGATCACTGCGTTGAAAGGTCTCTATTTTCAAAATCTTATTTGGCTTCAATTTTCAACCAAACGTTTCAAGTTTTAAGCTGCCACCTATTTCACGATCACCTTGACCATCAGCAACTAATATTTACAATACAAAAAAATTAAAATAAAACCCCCAAAAAAGAAAAAAAAAAAGTAAGAAATCTGAAATTCTACATGATTTCTGTCATATTATCATCATCATCGTCATCTTCCTCATCAATCTCCTGCCGAAGCGATGGATCGAGCGACGAAGAAGAAGATTCAGTGCAGGTGTAATAATTTGAATCTGAAGAACACGAGGAAGAAGCCAGAAGAATTTGTACCAGTAAATCCACAAAAGCCCCAATTATGAACCCATGATTCTTCTTCCAATTCGCCCTCAAATACCATCCAAGAAGCTCCTCCAATCCTTCCCAATCCCTGACGCCATGGCTCTCCACCATTTCCCCCATCGATTTTCTGAAGTCCTCGTATGGATTCTCCGACTCCATGGACACAATCAAGCTCTCTTTATACCCTAACCCTAACCCTAACCCTAACCCTCGCGCTTCCGGATTCGAATTCGAATTCGGCTTCGATTTCTCCAGGATCGAGCTCGTGTCGTCCGGCTCGAAGAACAGCCTCTCCGATCTGGCGCCGCGGACCACCGTCTCCAGCGACTGGCCGTCGATCTCGTGGCGGCCGGACTCCGTCGCCGTCGAGTTGCTCGCGGAGGCCGACTCTGACGAGTTCGTGAACAGCGAGTCGGACGTCTCGAGGCCGTCGAACGGGTCGAAGAAGATGGAGTTGACGGTCTTGAAAACGACGTCGCCGGCGGCGGCTCGGAAGGAGAGCGTCTTGGGGTGCTTGCAGGAGGGCCATTCCCATGGCTTCTCGGAATCTCTGGATTTGAATATGGAAGGAAACTTCATGATCGTCTTCTTCTTCCCCATCGGATCTGGGCCTGAGAATCGGGAGAAGCTCGCTTCAATGGCGGATTTGGAGTGCGATTCAGGGGTTGGGGAAAGGGAAGGAGGGATTTGGAATTTGTAGTGGAAGCCATTGGAGAGAAATTTAAAGGAGATCAGAGGAGAAGAAGGTGGGGGATGAAGATGGGATTGGTGAGGGATTTCGTGTGTGTATTAAATTTGTAGGTTTGTGGAATTAAATGCAAAATTTAATGATTTCTCTCTCTCTCCTCTTACTAAACTGAATTTAACAGTCCTTTCGCTTTTTTCAAATCTCAAAACCTCCACTTTCTCTCTCTAAAAACATCTTCTTCTCTCTTTCTCTCTCTAATGTGAGATAATGATTTGAATCTCGAACGGAAAAATATGAGATGTTTCAAGTGGTTAAGCTATGTTTGGGTCAGACTCTCTCTTTTCCTTAGTAAATTTTTTTTTGTTGTGAGTACCACATTTGAGTGGAAATTCGAAGTCACAATCTTTTGGTGTAGATATGTGTTTTAATCTGTTGCGTTAAGTTTAGGTTGTCAAGTTTAGTAAACTTTAATTGGTTCTAATAAACTTTTGAAGTTTTAATCTTGTATCTAATAATTTCTTAAGCTTAAAAACTGTGATCATTAATTTTTTTTATTTTGTGTCTATTATACATTTTTTAAATTCATAGATTTATTAGATACACAATTGAAAGGTCATGGTTCTATTAGACCCATAAAACTCAAAATTCTTTTTTCTAATAAGTTCATAAATTTTAAGTAATGTTGAATAAACTATGACATATTTGATATAAAATTGAAAGATTATAGATCTATTAGACTCAAAATGGAAATTTTAGATTTTAAAAGTTTATAATTAACTTATTAGACACAAAATTGAAAATTTCAGAAATCAAGTACTTTCATAGTTTTACCTATTTTTTAATTATAATATATTTATATATAGCTCAACAATAGGTAAAATGAGAATTTAAACCTCCAACTTTTTTTATCGATGATATACATCTTCTTTTTTTTTTCTTTGTAACGAATGATATATGTCTTAATTAGCTATTATAGTTTTATATATGATATAACTAAAATTGTTAAATGACCTAATTTAATCTCCATACTTTATACCAATATCGAGTATCAAACACATCATTCAACTGGTCAAAACATTAGTAACTTTTTACTCTAATATTTTTAAAACTTATATTATTAAATTTCAACATGATGAATATAATTAATTGGGGGAAGTGACTAGAGAATGTAGATCTTAATTAGGGAGCTGTGGTGTGTCAACAAATTGCCTCTTAGAGAAAGGCAAGTGAACAGGAGTATAAGGGTGGGGCAACATGTTTTGATCTTTTTTCTTTTTTTTTAGAAACAAAATTTTCTTTTTCTAAAAGTCGCAAAGGAATTGTGTTAGGATATTATTATATAGTACTAATTTTAAAGCCGTTTTATAGATCTATTATTTGAATCATGATGCTACTATACTATATATGTTTAGATCAGTATTAACTCTTTTTTTAAAAGAACAGTTTCAATCTTAAAAAAAAAAAACACAGCAAAGCTACTCGAACATAATTTATTCCTATTATCTTTGATATATATATGTTTGTATTTAAATCAAACTCTCAAATAATTCGATAACAATTTAA